ATATATTTCGTATTTATTCAGCATTATATTTTATTGAAACGCTCCAAGTGTCTGTGAGTCGATTGTTGATTTGAATTCAATCATTGTTATTGTTATCACTTCCCCTATTCTAATTTCCCAATGAGATCGTGCAAAAGATTCGGTTGTTGTGATATAACAAGCAAATCGCTACTGTTCGTATGCTATTGCTTTGGTGTTACGATCGCAATTTAGAGCAATATTTAGTACTACACTACAGTCATGTACCAATCTACACAAACATTAGCATTACTGATTACATCGAAATGTTTGACCACCTGACCTGATGACGAACCGAGGATATATCATATTATTTGCTACGCATGTAATTATCTCTGATTTCTAACATAGCTAATCTACTTAAATGGTAAATATTCTACCTGGAAAACCCATTACTTTTCGCAGATTACAGTTAACGTTACAATATAATGCTATGAAACAATAACACGTTTAACGACTGCCGAGGAACGAAAACACACGTGCAATAGTCGTGTTTTGTGTGCTGCCACCTATAGCACACATCCCGCGTTAGATTGTTCTGCATTTTTCGCTTATTATTATTTTTTAAACACAGTAAATGTCAAGAGTATAGCAATTACGCATGTTTAAGCAATATATAATTATATTTAATTTAATTTTTGTAAGGATTATAGAAATTAAATAATTCTAAATCTAAGCAAGGTAAATCTAGCAACGTCATCGTTGTCGTTAACGTGACTAAATATAAATATCCCCGGTAGATATATTAGTTCTATCGCAATATAATTTGTAATATATATGCGTCCTTTATTATGGACTTTTAACACAATGACATCAATATTCAATATAATTAATTATAGGAAGGTTTAAACGTCTGCGGAATACAACCAGCACTGGCAGCAGCTAGTGTGACCAGAGCGTGATAAGCATAGTTACAGGAGCGTATAACTTCTACTTCTATTTCTATACTGGACAGTCCGTAAGGAATAAACGCCCAGGGCTATAGCTAGCCATGGTGTGTGACCTAGCTTGGGTAAAGCCAGGTAGTTAGCTTTTTTTTTAGCCGAATGGCACTGAGGCGCACTGAGGGTGGTCATGCACAGCCAGAGTTTTTTTGCGCCCTCAGTGGTTCTTTTAGGTCCCCATTGGCCTTAGTATTACTGGAGACGTAACCGCCATTTTACGTGGTCATCCGAGCCACGGGAGATTCACATGCAGTCTCCAATCTTGAGAGCCAGGTTTTTACACCTTGAGAAAATTTACTGCCCCGGCCGCGAAGTTTTTTCCCCCACTTGAGTTCCGGACCCACCATAGATAGTGTTTTGTAATATATGGTTCGTATATATATGGTTGGAATATAGTTACTGTTATGGTTCGTTTACGGGTTATGGTTAGGGTTAGGGTTAGAGGGTATTCATTTTACATTGTTGCTTCGAGGAAGTCGAGTGAATCACTGAATCGCTGATTGGCTGTGGTCCGGAACTCAAGTGGGAAAAAAAATTTCGCGCCCCGGCTGAGGTTTGAACTCACAGCCTTCAGTGGGCAGCCACTGGGCCACGAAAGCGCTCTCGTTGAACCTGGTGTGTGGGTGGAGGGGCGGGGTGTAGGCCAGCTGCTAATATCCTCACAATTTAACGGGCAGTTTGATATGAAAAATCTCTATTTCAATCTCTAGCTTGATACGGCTGTTAATGCGTCCTGTCTTTCCTAATTCCCGTGGATATGTGTTCGGAAATGCAAACTATCGGCTATTCATTTCGTTAAAATTTCACATAATAATTAAGGTAGTATATAAGCACATTCTCGCGGGTAGTTTACCCTGCTTGAATATATCTCAAATTCAGTTATTCACTTTAATAATCATGAAGGCCCACAGTCTTCATAATTTTTCCTATACTGTATAGCGTTCTTTCCTATACTGAAATATATTTTGAAATATACTGAAATATACTGAAATATATACTGATATATTTTTCCTATACTGTATAGCGTTCTCTGTTTGGGCATTTCCAGTATCTGCCTTAAAAATTCAATTTGGTTTAAATTAAACACTGAAAATTGAGAGCACAGTTGTTTGAAAACGGACAATTAATGGGTAGGGGAGAGTAAGGAAATAGAGAAGGAGGCGAAGGAGGAGGAGATGATGATAAGGAGGAGGAAGA